AAATAAAGAGAGAATAAAAAAGTGACGTTGTAACATTTAGTAATTATAGTTATGTTCAAATCTACTAGAAATATTCTCAAAATAATTTGATCACATTTTTTGTTCATAATTTTGTGCGAGTAATATTTTAGAAAACCCCTCTTACTACTATAACTATAGAATCAAATTATGTTTAATTACTTGTTAATAGAAAAAGTTATTATGATATGGTCCAGATCAAATCAGGGTTGTGGGTGAATCCTAGAATTCCAGAGATTGTGGTGAGACCTGACCTCGAAAATCTAGCGAAGACCTATGGCAAATTTTGGTGCACATGGCAATCTGATAGAGGTAATTTATATAATCAATAATAAATACGGAAATTGTCCTAAATAGGACTAATGAGTTCCTAAAAAGCACAAATAGGACTACTACTTTTAAAATTCCCTAAATAAGACTAAACATTGATTTTCTACCCTAAATACCCCTAAGAGTATTAATTCATAATGAAATGCTTTAATTCATAATAAAATCATAAAAAATGTAAAAAATATTTTAAAAACGTAAAAAAATTGTAAAAAATTTATAAAACATTTATAAAATAAAAAAATTAATTTTTTATTTTTTTAATTTTTTTAAAAAATAATAAAAAATTGTAAAAACCCATAAAAAATGAAAAAAATATGGATACCTTTCCCACCGCCTCTCGCCGCCTCCCAGCACCACCACCTCCGATTGGTGAAATTTCTTCCACTTTTGGTAAAAAATGCCATATTTTTCTGAAAATGCCAAAAAGATGGCATAATTACTCTTCAATATGCCAACATTTTCATTGAATATGCCATCATTATGGCATTATTGAAAATGTTGGCATATTTTTCTCCGGTGATGGGAGTTGGTGGTGCTGGGGGGTGGCAGGGGTGGTAATGTTTTTTTTTTTAATTTTATGATTTTTTTTTATTTTTTTTATTTTTTTTTAAATATTTTTTTTATTTTTTTTTAAAAATATTTTTTATTAATTTTCTTTTATTTTTTTACGATTTTTTAGTATTTTTTTCGATTTTTATAATTTTTTTTATGATTTTATTATTAATTAAAACATTTTACAAGTTACAAGGGTATATTTGTCCAAACACACATAAATAGTCCTATTAAGGGAATTTAAAAAATGTAGTCCTATTTGTGCAATTTTGCCACTTTTTAGTCCTATTTAGGGAATTGACTCTAATAAATAGACCAATTTTTGGTATACAAATTTTTATACACATTTTGCATTCTTCGTTTGTATATATAAACAACTCTCAAATTTTCTGCATTTTTAGCCGTACACAGGCAAATTAGAAAATATACAAAAATAAATGTACATAAAACATGTACAAAAGTATTTTTCCTAATAAATAATGATTAAAAACAATTCGAGATTTTGAAATTAGATTCTGTTCGTCACTTTTTCAAATTCAAGTAATTCAATTTTGATGTATAATTTTGAGAAAAAAAGGTAAATTAAGTAATTTCATTTCTTATTTGGACATATTTATTCATATGCCTAGTAGATATTTTTTTGCAATTTTTAATTGATTTTTATGACAATATTTATTCTTGTTGAAAGATAAAAATATACTATGTACCTAGTATGAACTAGGCATGGACCGGCCCGGAACCGGCCCGGGATGCAACTGGGTCCCGGCCGGGCCGGTTCATATATTATTTTTTTGCTTTTCTAATTAACCCCCGACCCCCTCACCCCCACCCCCAAACCCCCTCAAAACACCCAGCCCAACCCGGGAAAAACAAAAAAAAATGAAAAAAATAATAATAAAACCCGGTCGGGCCAGTTCCAAAGGAAGGGTAGACCCGGAACCGCACCGCTCTAACACCCCGGGCCGGTCCTAGGCCCGGTTCCCAGGCCGGGCCCGCACAGTGGCCGGCCGAGCCAACCGGAACCTGTCCATCCCTAGTATGAACGAATAAATAGAATTATCAAAAATCATGTATGTTTTATATTTGTTTAGTAATAAGAGTATAATAATTTTTTTACAAAATATGAGATAAAAAGTTGGTGTACTAAAACGTGTGTGGTAACGTTTAAAACAACTTATATGCTTATTTCAATTATTTTAGAAAATGGCATTATACAATTACTCATATTTGAAACTGCGCTTAAAATTGGAGATGTATCTAAAAATAGGGGTTATGTCTAAAATAATAGTAAAAAACGAACTATAGACAAAAAAGAGACCTTTTTTTCCCTTTCCAAAAAAAGGGACCTAAAATGGGATTAAGACATACGTACATCCGAAGAAGTGATTAACCTCACACCATCTTTGCAAATGTTTACCCATACTGCCCATAGTGCTATGTGCTGCCCAACATTGCAATGTAAATTCATGTTTCTTTTGATTTTTATATTAGTTCGTATTTGCACCAAAAAAAATATTAGTTCGTATTTCTCAAGATATCTATTTCATTGAGATGAATATAAGAGTAAAATATTTAAATTATTATACAAAAATTTTGTAAAAATTATTTCAGTTATTGTTCCAGTATAGTCACAATGAACAATAACAAATTAATAATACAGTGACAAAAAATCGACGAAAAATCCAAATTCCGCCAAGTGACAAACGTTCACCCGTCTAGTGACCAACGTCCGCCCACACAGTTACAGTTACCCAACTCGTCCAGTTACAGTTACCCGATCCGTCCAGTTACAATTACGTGATTCGTCCAGTTACACTTACCCGACCCGTCCAGTTACAGTTACCCGATCTGTCCAGTTACAGTTACCCAATCAACCAGTTACAGTTACCCGACCTGTCCAGTTACAGTTACCCGACTCATCCAGTTACAGTTACATGATCCGTCCAGTTACACTAACCCGACCCGTCCAGTTACAGTTACCCGACCTGTCCACTTACAGTTACCCAATCATCCAGTTACAGTTACCCGATCATCCAGTTACAGTTACCCGATAAGTCCAGTTACAGTTACCCGATAAGTTCAGTTACAGTTACCCGACTCGTCCAGTTACAGTTACCCGACTCGTCCAGTTACAGTTACCCGACTCGACCAGTTACAGTTACCTCACACGTCTAGTTACCTGACCCGTCCAGTTACAGTTATCTCACCCATCTAGTTACAATTACTCTACCCGTCCAATGACCAACCCGCCTAATGACCAAATCATCCGTGACCAAATCGACCAATTCACCCGTGACCAAACCGTCTGCGACCAAAACCGACCTATGACTAATCCACCTGTGACCAAATCCAACAAGTGGCAATGATCAATCCGATCAACGTCCCGACGAGTAACCATGACCAATTTGATCCTGCATTGATCGTCGCTGCCTTTCGACCGGGATAGCTGCCGCCACCCGGAGGTGACAGCCACCACCCCTCACCCACCATCCCCCCTCCCCAGCCCCCACCTACCCCCAGCCCCCTCCAGCACCTTCCCACAGGCCCCACAGGCCCTCCAGCACCCTCCCACAGCCCCCAGCCCCTCCAGCATCCTCCCACATCCCCCAAGCAGCCCCCAGCCCCTCCCACAACCCCCCTTCAGCCTACCCCCACCCCCAACACCCTCCCACAGTCCCCTCTAGCCTACACCAACCAGCCCACTGCCACCCCCGTCCCCCACCGCCCTGTCCAGCCTTCATCCCATACCTAGTCGTCGCCGCCCTAAAGTATTCATCAAATTGAAGCAATTGTCATACTTCGATCTGCAGCACCATATGGAGCGACGGCGTGGGAAATGGTCGGCCGCAGGAGCGAGATCTGTGGTGGCATTGGAGAAAAGAGCAGATGTGATGGAGATGAGATGAGGTGCGATGTAGATGGATGGTGGGTAGATGTGTTGAAGATGGAAGGCAACAGATGCGAAGATGTTGGAGAAGGAATGTGCAGATGTGCGGAGATACGCCGCGGAAGAAGGAAGGCGACGGGTTTGGTCCCTTTTTTGTCTAGGTTTAAACGGGTCTTGTTTTTGTCGAGTCAAAGTTCACTGGTCCTGTTTTTGCCATTCTTTCCTAAAAATATGAATCGATGTTTTAAATTAAGAAATTGAAATAATATTGATCAAGTGTAATTTTTAATAAGTAAACTATGACTACATAATTCTCGTAATCAACTAATCAAGTATAAAACGTATTTCTGTATATTGTTATTCCTCTATAATTATAGAATTAGTATTTTATAGTAAAGGTTAATGTATTTGTGAGTAATATAAATAAATAAATTGAAATAATTTCAAATTAGTGCATCTCTATTTTAATTTCATATTGAGATTATCAAATTAAGGAGTTGAAACAATAGTGATCAAATGTATAATGTACTTCGTAATAAGGAAATGAGAAGCACCTTGTGAAAATAATTTTGTGGGGAGTATTCCACTATTTAGGAAAGGGATAAGGCTCAAATTGGACACTATGGTTTTATCAGAATCTCATATTGGACATTAAGGTTACAAATGGGTCAAATTAGACACTATGGTTTCATATATATCTCATATTGGACACTAAAGTTTCATAATTCATAGTTTTTGGACACTCACTTATATTGGATAAAGATCAAATTGGACACTCACTTATATTGAATTATTAAACTTTAGTGTCCAATATGAGATACATATGAAACCATAGTGTCTAATTTGGTCCATTTGAAACCATAGTGTCCAATTTGAGCTTTATCCCTTTAGGAAAATCCGTGCTATTGACAATAAATTACATAGTACGGAGTAATAAATATTGAAATAATTATATAAATATGATCAAAATAAAGATGGTTTACAAAAATATGACTAGTTACTAGAGTAGTAATGAAATCATAGTAATTCATCAAGTTTTGAACTTAAGTTACCACAACATTACATTGTAATAATGAATAGTCATATTTATGTAAATAAGTTTTATTTTAGTAATATTCTTGTAAAAAACTCATAAATATTGTTAATAATCCCACCTGACTTTGCCAATTTTTCATTTTTATTTGTCCCAAAAAACTTTATCACTTTCCTTTTAATGCAATGCAGTTTAGTTCATTTCTTTCTCGTCTACCCAAACTTTAATTTTAATCACACAGTTTTTACTATTCTAATTTTCTATCCAACATCAACTTGGCAAAGTTGAGTAGGACGTAGGTAATATCACACAGATAAAGACGTATATGAATATATTGTGTATTGTATTCAAGTAATTTTTACCGTTAAGCTGTGTAGAAACTTAAAACTTGGGCAAGCCCATTCGAGTGTCAGTGAAGTTAAAGTATTTGGCCATTTTGATGATGCAGGGGACAAGCTTCCTATAGGTCTGCCAGCACTAATGATGTCCCCGCAAGCAGTGAACTTAGGGAGGGTGAAACCGGAGCTTGTGCACAAGAGAGATCAGAAATACAACATATCGACGGCTGACGCTCTGAAGGAGTCTCGTGTGGAGATACCAGAGCCAGAATGGATCAATCCTCAGGCAGACTACTGGAAACAGCACGGCAAGGGTTTCATCATCGACATTGAGACCCCTGAGATGAAGAAGAGGGCCGGAACTGCGTTTCCGTGATCCATCCCGGTCTCATCAGCAATTTATTCCCCTAATAAGTTTGTAATGGTAGCTTGTATAAGCATACTCTGAATAAATAATACACAAGATTATTATAATGATGATGGATACAGTGTGTCTGTTAGGTATCAAATGATAATGAACTAAGGTTTAATGCGTCAAAGCTCCTCGACTCCTCATGATATATAAGGGAAAACTGTCAAATAGATCCTCAAACTTTCATAAAAAGGTCAAATACATCTTTATATAGGAGGCTTTGTCCGGCCGTCGCAATTTGAGGCAGTTCCTGGTGAAATTTTTTGATGAAAATTTTTTAACATCTTATTCATCAAGTCTAGTTTACTCATACCAAATTTCAGCTAAACCTTCAATCGGGAACGTATTCAAATTAATTCTTGAAAATAATTGCGCATTTAACTACACAGTTAGTTTCAAGAATTAATTTGAATACGCTCTCAATTGAAATTTTAGCTGCAATTTGGTATGCGTAAACTAGACTTGATGAATAAGATGCTCAAAAAATTTCATCAAAAATTCCACCGGAACCGGAAACCGCCCCAAATCGCGACGGCCGGACAGAGCCTCCTATATAAGGACTTATTTGACCTTTTTATGAAAGTTCGAGGACCTATTTGACAGTTTTTCCTATAAATAATTACCTTGTCATGATTTAAAATTTAAATTATGTGCATTACCTTATGATTTAAAAAGCGTCAAACTCCCACAATCATAATTAATTAATCAGGTATAGAACATCTTGATGAAGCAACAAATTTGATAATTTAATTTATTAAAACTGTTTTTAGGCGCAATCATCACATCATAACATTTAAAACACGTGATTTTCACTGTTAAAACGCACGACAGAGGATTTGGGGTACTTGTTAAACCACGACAAACAACTGTGCAAAATTTTTATGCCACTGAGATAGACACTTTAAACCGTGAGCATTGTTAGCTGGATGCCGACTTAGTAGCGGAAGTGGGTGAAGAACCTATTAGTGTGGCGTTGGAGTTATGTATGAGTTTTTCCTTGTGATAGTCTTTCATTGCCTTAAACCTCAAATCATCGGCGTATGTAGCTGCCTCCGGGATTTCATGCGGAACGGCAAACTTCCCCTCCAGCATTCCCACAACCTCTGACATTGCAGGCCTCAACGACGGGGTCGCACTGGTGCATGTCAGTGCTACTTTCACTATTATTTCTGCTTCATCTTTGTTGATACACTCTCCTAACCTCGGATCAATGAGCTCTTCAAGGTTCCCGCTCAGTTGTAAATGACAAGCCTGTTACATAATCAAGAATGCAATGCATGGCATTAGTTTATTTTTCTGTCCTGTGTTTACACAGGGGTAATTTATTATTTTACTCCCTCACTTATGCAACCCCGCCCATCCCCCATTTAACTTTTGCAAAACTCCTCAGTAGTTGTACCCTTTAGTGGGTTTTAGGACCTTTATCTTTTCCTACAAATATGATCTGAACTACATATCTTGAAATTTAACCTGTGGTTCTGATCTGAATGTTTTGTCTAGGGATCTTTCAAATTGGGTTTTATTTGAATTTCAGACGTTTCCAATCTTATCCAACTTCATACAAAATATAACATTTGTTCTGAATTTTTGCTCTAGCCTAATTTGAACGCAATGAGGATAAGTAATAAGAAGAAAAAGTTGAACCGAACGCCACTTTAGTCCTCGCCTCCTCGGTTGTTGTTTTACCGGTTGTTGCCACAGCCCGCAGAATAACAACCTTAGCACCAAAGGACTAAAACAAAGGATGACTTTTGCACAAATTGTATAAGGACTAAAAACACAATTGACTCTTGTCTATTTGCTCAACTGGATATAACATGTGAGTGGGGTGTTGTTGAAGAGAATACCCAATCCAGAAGACATATGCAATTGTGGCTGGGCATGAAAGTATTGTTGTTCTTGCCACTGACTATTTCCAGTAGCACAACCCCAAAGCTGTACACATCTACCTTGTACGTCAAATAACCCCATAATGCATATTCTGGTGCCATATATCCTCTGAGTGAAAAAGGAATAACAAGACCAACGATTCCAGTCGCAGCAAGAAAGTAAGGCAAAAAATGAACATAATCTAATACTCATGACAGTTAAATATTTTCTTTGTAGTAGTTTATGAGTGCGCAATGAACTTACATTGTTCCAGCAATTCTCGTACTGATATGTGTTTTCTCATCTTCATTAAGCCTAGCTAGTCCAAAGTCTGAAATTTTAGGGTTGAGGTCTCGGTCAAGCAGCACATTGGTAGCTTTAATATCTCTATGAACAATTTTAAGGCTTGATTCCTCGTGAAGAAAGGCAAGACCCCTAGCAATCCCTAAACAGATTTTGAACCTTGTTGGCCAATCTAACAGCATCGCAGAACCTAAAAAATAACACCCACAAATTATTGGAAAAAAATAGTTATCCTTTAATATATTGCAACAGGGTAAACGGTAAACTGTATTCGATGTTCACAATATCTCATTGTCGTACATTTTCTGTAGTAGAATGATTTACAAAAAAGTCAAATGCAATGGGACAACATTTTTTCATGTATTTCATATCTATTTTTGTATTGTAATGTGTTGTGTGCCATACTGATCTCGGGGTTTGAATCTAATATATAAGCCTAGCTCTTAAGAGTCTTTTTTGGAGGTCCTGGACCTAATCTAATATGATATCAAATCGTGGTCCGATTATGGTTCATTTGTTTCATTATGCCCCATGGTTTGTGCCAGTCATTTGAGGATCAATTAGGCCTCTATTTGTCCACTTCACAAGATTTGGGCTAAGAGAAAGTGTGTTAAGTGTCTCAAAGTGGACGTTCACCGACTTTGAATCTACTCCCTCCGTCCCAATATAAAGAGCACATTTGCGTTTTCAAACATTTTAAGGAGGAACACTGTTTGACACTGTTTGGCACTGTTTTGTTTGTCAAAAAGGAAAATGTGCCTTTTATATTGGGACGACCCAACAAGGAAAATGTGCCTTTTATTTTGGGACGGAGGGAGTAGTATTAACTATTTTTACTGTGAGGCACTACTTGAGTCATCTTGAGATGAGTGTGAACTAACTCAATGGTAGTTACTTGAAAATATAAACAACATCCAAGCTTTGTTCCCAATAAATTTTGGGGTCGGCTAACATGAGCCGAACCATGATATCGGAGCAAAAAAGAAAAGAAAGATCAGAGAAATAAAAAGATAAGTTAAGATAAAAAAAAGACAAGATAAAGATAAAGATATGATAAAAGAGCATAAGAAGGATAAAAGATACGTAGTACAAATAACATAAGAAGATAAGAAAGATAATAAAAAGATAAAAGAAAAAGGAGAGAGAAAAGAGAAAAGTGATCAATCCTCATTCCTCCACAAGAATATTCGCGCTCCACTTTGCTTTCTCCAAAGACGTATATCTCATCCAACCCAAGAAGAACAGTTGAAAATATAAACACAATAAAAAACTAGACCAGAACTAGGGTTGGCCGGGGCTTTGTTTGGCCCACCTTATCTTGGCCATTGTGTAGGACTTACCGAACAATGCACTAGCAAGGCTATTGTTATCCATGTACTCATAGACAACGAGTAGTTGATCTCCTTCAATACAACATCCGTAAAGCTTAACCAGATTGGGATGTTGCGAGCAAGATATCATGCCAATCTCATTCAAAAACTCTCGGTTCCCCTGCTTTGATTTGGAGGATAATTGCTTCACTGCAATTAAGGTACCATCACCTAATTGACCCTACAAAGAACCAATTCTATAAGTGGAAGTCAGCAAAAGAAATGACAACTTTTCTAGTCATCTAATAATCTATTTTATTTAGTCATCTAATAATCTAATATGTATCATACCTTGTACACAGGACCAAAGCCACCTTCTCCAAGCTTCTTTGCATCATCGAAGTTATTTGTAGCGGCTTTAATCTGTTTTAAAGTATATGCTACCATTTGCAACTCTACCCCTTCCGGATCTGTCCAAGGAACAGCAGGGTCAGTCCTCACTTAGTCACTCCCAATATATTCCTCAAATCAAACTTCAGAAATATCACTTGAAATCATTGACAAGATCATTAAAAGGACAGAGCATTTGAATGCCCATTTTAATATCTTACATGGCTCCACCTAGCTTTTGGTATTTATTCATCCCACGATCCTAAAAGCAAAAGTGTTCAACTTCAAAGCTTATTGTTCTACCCGGGTCCCTATCTTTATCCTATTTGAACATGTTGGGTTTAAGAGCATCTTCAATGCTACAATGTGCACGGTGCACACGTGGCATGAGAGATAGCCACATAAATATAAATATAAGTAAATAAATTCTCTCTCCTTATTTGAATGATTTTATACAGTTTTGGTAAGTTTTTCTCCACAACGTCAGGGAGACCATCTAGATGTTGACATTGCAGTTGACATTGCAGGGAAAAACTTACTAAAATTATATAAAATCATTCAAATAAGGAGAGAGATAATTTATTTGCTAATATTTATGTGGTTATCACTGATGCCACATGTGCACCGTGCACGTTGTAGCATTGGAGATGCTCTAATGCACCAAACCCCTTTGTGATATATAAATTCCGCTTATTAGTCCCATGTGATATAAAAATACGTCAAACCCCCCTATATTATAATTATTCACACACAAAACCTCATCTATGAACAATTTTAATTGCCAAATAAATGGAAAAAGACTAGGGGCCTGTTTTCTAATAGAGATATGTTCCAGTTTTTCAGAAAACTGGAAAACTGGAAAAAGGGAAACAAAAATGTGTTTACCAAAAAACATTGCTGGAAAATTGCAGAAAGGAAAACAGAAATTTGCGTTTACCAAATCGTTTTCCAAATCCAAAAAAATGAGATACGTCTCTATTTTTCTTAATGAATTAGAAGTGACTTTTACGATGTTGCAGTGCCGTTACAATGAATTTGCATACTTACGACTAGCGTTATATCCACTCCGGGGTCTGAACTTGTCCCGTCCGGTTAACGACCCGACGGTCCCTATCTGGTCCGGTCCGATCATTGACCCGGCGGTCCATGTCCGGTCCGGTTGACGGCAGAGCAATCCCGGTGCAATCCGATCAATGATCCGGTGGTCCCTGTCTGATCCGGTCCACGACCCGGCGGTCCCTGTCCGGTCCGTTCGATGACCTGGTGGTACTTGTTTGGTCCGACCGACGGCCGGGCAGTCCTGGTCTGATCCGATCTAGTCAACAACTCGGCGGTCCCCGTCCGATCCGGTTTGAGTATTTTTGCATAATTGAGATATTTAAAGATCTTGAAAAATCTACTTGCATATTCAATCATTAATATTAAGATAAGTGATTTCCAAATTGCTATATATGTTCTTGGAGAGTTGGAGGGGTTTTGCACATGAATAATTATAATACAGTGGGTTTGACACATTTTTTTCACATAGGAATGATGCGTCCAATTTACATATCACGGGGGACTTGGTGCATTAAACCTGAACATGTTAGAGTCCCATGTTCATATATTACAAAAAGAAAGGGACAGATTTATAAGTCTAAAATTTGGGTATAATTTGCACCTAGTGCACATTATAGGCTACTTGAGTGATCTCTACCCAAACTTGAACTCGGTCGTATTTTGTTAAAAAAGGTGTCACAGACACATATAGGCTAAACTTAATAAAAGCAACAAATTATTTTAAAAATAGGGAAATTGAAGTTTGCACCCCAGTTTTTCATTAAAATTTGAGTTTGCATTTTGTTTTCGAAATTATTAATATTCGCATAATAAGGGCAGCCCGGTGCACATTGACGTCCACGCAAGACTAGAGTCTGAGGAAGGGTCCCACCAAAAGGGTGTATAGGGGGTAACATTCCGTTGTCAATGTTGACAAGATACCGCACCTAAGACTTGAACCCGTGAGGTCGTGACCTCTCGGTCAACATCTTAATCGGTGCGCCAATGCTCCATATCCAAAAAATTAAAATTTACACCCCATTTGTTTTCCCAAATTGGAGGTTGAATTTCAATTTCTAAGAGATTTTTCGAAGTTCAGAATGCAAATACTAATAATGGTCTGGATGGAAAAATTAGGTGCAAAGTCGAACTCCTCCTTACAAATAATGCTAGAGTAGGTAAATATGAATTAAATTTTGGGACGGAGGTAATAAAATGAATTTTCTTTGACATTAAAAGAAAATGATAGAAATAAGAGATAATACACTCTTCACGGAAACTCCAGGTTGCTCTATATGATCACGATTATTACCTTTATTTTTCCCATTTCGGTATAACAAAGAGCCTTTCCACCAGCAGAGCAAACCAATAATGATCAAGACAATGAACCCAGCCACCAGTCCAACAATAAAAGGAACAATAGCTATCTTTTTATCCCCATCTTCATCTTCACAAGTTTTGAAATCTATTTATAATAATATAAAGAAGAGAAAGATTACATCTGTAGAGCTCTTATACTAGGTATGTGTGGATGAAGGCATTTGGGGGACTTCGAAGGGCTTAGATATAATTCTATATTAAGTATAGAATACACCAACAACATCATTACCCCAGTGCCGCAAAGGCTCCCACCTACAGTGGGGTAAGGGGGGGTCGGATGTACGCAGTCTTATCCCTGTATTAAAACAGGGAGAGACTGATTCCGAACCCATAGTGAAATTCACGTAGCACAGAGAGTCTAGTGAGCTATTTTGCTTTATTCCATCATATTCCCAAGCCAAAAAAATAGTTAGTCTTTGGCTCTATTGCAAATGATGGAACTATTCACATATTATATTAACATTTCCAATTTTATGAAATTTCAAACATATATATATATATATATATATATATAGGGGAGGGTTCTAGTGAGAACCCCTCTTAAAATGAGAACCCGTGAGAACCCCGAGAACCGGTGGTATTTTTGGCTGAAATTTTTTGTGTATGTTCCTCATCAAGTCTAGTTCATCCATACCAAATTTGAGCAAAAAATTCAATCGGGAAGGTCGTCAAATGATTTTTGAAAGAAAACTGGTCCGGAATATACATATAAAACGCAGTTTTCTTTCAAAAATCATTTGACGACCTTCCCGGTTGAATTTTTTGCTCAAATTTGGTATGGATGAACTAGACTTGATGAGGAACATACACAAAAAAAATTCAGCCAAAAATACCACCGGTTCTCAGGGTTCTCACGGGTTCTCATTTTAAGAGGGGTTCTCATCAAATATATATCAAGATAATAGATTAAAGAAATGCTTGCCATTGTTTGATAAATTGTGCTTTTGGCCTAAAAAAGCTAAAAGATGTATTTTGAAATAGGTACTTCTCCTTAACTTCATGCGCTTTAAAGCTAAATGTTGTAAGCAGGGAAAAGGGTGCTTAAAATTGTTTTTCACTTTTTTACCTAAATAATGCACCAAAAAGTACTTCTCTACCAAACGCTGCAACTTCAACTTTAAAAAAATCATGTTTATGTTCAAACATTACCAACTTTTAGATTTAAATGCTTGTTCTAGAGAATGTACATGGCAAAACCAAACACTACATAAGCCATCCAAGCCCTACATCCAAACAGACCCTTCATCTTGTCACATATTAGTATTGTTGTTCATAAAAGAAAATCACCTAACTAATATCCACTTGTTAATAATAAAGGGGAAAAAAAGTGATTGGCAAGTCTTACTTGGATCAACTGAAATAGCTGATATGAGAGAGCCATAATGTCCTCTAAGAGGAATGCGAGTGGTCCCTTTTCCGGCCCAATAAAGCCTAATCTCCAAGGTATTATCAGTTACACTAACATTAAAATGCTTGACGACAGGCTTTAGAGCTCCTTTAGCCTCATCTGCAATGTTGAAGCTCTTCCAAACTAAGTTATCCTGGTAAAGAAATTTATGTAAGCAATCTACATCATTTAAATGGTACACTTGTGAATGTCAAGATTCACGCATAAACACACCAAGAGAGACATGGGTTTATGAGGTCTTGGATTGGACTAGCTAAGCAATTGGACCTGTTCTCTTAGTATCTGTTTGGGAGGAGGGTTTTGGGGGAATTTCAAAAGAAAGGCTTAGGAGGGCATAGTCTATCTATCATTCTATCGGTAATAGAATGTTACGAAAAACTATTAAAAGGTGGTTGAAATGATACACAATCACATGTTAGGTTAATCTTTCAATTCCCATATTAATATGTCTCTGTGTGTGTGTACTACGTATAAACACACAACACTACACACAGGTAGGTTCAAACAGGAATGACGTCTTGATATGAAGCAGAATCTAGGCTTGGAGAAGAGGGGCAGAAGCCTCCGTGGGTTTACTGAAGGCGGGGACGGGCTTTAGCCCACCTTCGTGGGCTGGTTGCGGGCTGTTTAATTAATATTTATTCTTTTTAATTTTCCTGATTTGTTTCCTATTTGGAGTTAATCGGGATTTCTAATATTTATTTCCTATTAGGAGTTAATTAGGATTTATATTATTTGTTTCCTATTTGAAGTTGATTAGGATCTTTATTATTTTGTTTCCTAGTTGGAGTTGATTAGGATTTCTAGGATTTTGTTTCCTAGTTTGAGAATTAGTAGATGGGTATAAAGACCCCTTGTTAGGATTCATTTTTATCGTTGATTATCTGGGCAACGGTTCACCCCGTTGATTTTATTTTTCTGTTCTCAACACGTCTCAAGGGAAGAAATGTGAATGAATGTGGTGTATGAGTGTATCCTGTTGAAGTTCTAAGGGCTCTAAAAAGCCAATAATGCATCCAAAATTGACCAAAATGTGATGAAAAACCTGCAAATAAACCTAACTTTTTATGACAGACCAAACAAAGAACTCGGAACATAGATGTGCACCACAAATAACCAAATGTATTGTTCTCAGATTTGTACCTTAAGTGTCAATCTCACCGGGACCACACCCTACACACACTAAACCCTTCTACCCAAAACCTTCGATCCAAACAGACGTTTAGTATCATTTCATGTGCACTATGGTCCAGTTGCCAATTACATCACATTAGATAAAAATGAACAATATAACCTGGATATATATGTCAAAAACACGCCTCCCAAGATTGTAATATGTGTCATTGTTTGTAAAAATGATCTCCGCGAAGTGGAGGGCAACATCGTAGCTCCCATTCTCCAAGCAATAACGGAAATAAGTGAGAGAAAGAGGAGAGACACGAGCATTCTTGTACAACTCAGGAAGACCATTTAATTGTACAGTCTCAATGAAACGTGTATTTTGATCATTAGAATCATCCATGAAATCGCCTGTGCTACTGAATCCCCAGTTTTCGTTGCTACTACTGAAATATTTTGCTGAACCACCTTCAACTCCTGCATCCCCTTCATAACTGACATCTTCATTTCTCGCATGGGTAGTTACATAATTACCTCCCGCATTTACATGAAAGGAACAACCATCTGTCATACATCAGAAACATTGTGAACAGAAAAGATGCATATAAGAATGATATCCCACACTACATGAGACCGTAGTGTTCCTTTTGGAACCTGGAAAAATTAAAGAAATATTAGAAACAAGGTTAGGACTCCATCATTTCCAATGGAGTCACTACTTTTTGCTTGGGAATATGATGGAATAAAACAAAATGACTCACTAAACTATTTGTGCTTCTTTGTTATGAAGCGGCCATCAATCCATGTGATTTTCAACTCAGTTTTCATCATGGGTCATCTAGATAAGGCTGGGAAGCCTTTGCGGCACTGAGCTCTAATGTCATAGGTGATCATGTTAGCCGACCACAAACTCTTTTGGAAATAAGGCTCGGATGTTTTTGTTGTATTGAAAACAAGGTTAGAATAAAATAGTTCAACATATTATTTGTGCAGACTCAATATATGTTTCTCTTTTTATGAAGATTAACAAATACTCTTTCCGGATTGAAATGATTGCTACAATAGGTTTGGCACAATATCTAAGGGAAAAGTATTAGGGATAATGAATAGTGTGGAAAAAGTATGAGAGTGAAAAAGTATAAAAAAGAAGATACAGGTAGAAAAAGTAAGGTAGTTGAATATTTTTAAAGGAAAACATATCAAAAATGGAAACAACAACATTACTCCAGTGCCGCAAAGGCTCCCACCTACGGTGGGGTAAGGGGGAAAAGCTTTTCCTAAGGCTTCCACATAAGAAAAACTTATCAAAAAGGGAAACAACGACAACAACATCCAAGCCTTATTCTCAAAAGATTTTGGGGTCGGCTAACATGAATTGATCCATGATATGAGGGCCAAAAAGAGAAGAATGATAAGAAAAATAAAAAGGTAAGGTAAAATAAAATGGATAAGAGAACAATAAATATAAAAATATAAAAATAACATAAGAACATAATAAAGATAAAAGATAAAAAGAGCATAAGAAAGATAAAGGATAAAAACACAGAAAGATAAAGAAGATAAAAGATAAAAGAAAAAGAGAGAGAAAAGAGATCAATCGGAGCAAACGTTGCAAAAATTAAAATGCATCCCCAAAAGGAACATGTAGCAAACATTTCAATCCAGAGGGAGTACAATCATACAACAACGTTACCCCAGTGCCGCAAAGGCTCCCATCTACGGTGGAACAAGGGGGGCCGGGTGTACGTAGGCCTACTTTATAAAAAACACAGACGATTTAGTGAGCCGTTGTGCTTTATTTCATCAGATTCTCAGGCAAAAAATAATGAATCTTTGGCTTCATTGGAAATGATGGAAAAGGGAGTAGAAGCATCATCATTTTCATTTTCATTTACCCCAGTGTCGCAAAGGCTCCCACCTACGGTAGGGTAAGGGGGGTCAGATGTAGGCAGTCTTACCCCTGTACTAATGTACAAAAGCACAGAGAGACTGTTTCCGGATGACCCATAGTGAAAATCGTGTCCAAAATTGCATGAACTTACTGCTGCTTCATAACAAAGAAGCGCAGACAGTTTAGTGAGCCATTTTGCTTTATTCCATCATATTCTCAAGCCAAAAAATAATGAATCTTTGGCTCCATTGCAAAGGGAGTAGAAGCATATGTAAAGAAAATAGAAGTCCTAATTAAAATTGAGTTTCCTTAGTATTTCTTCTGAGAAACTATTTTTCTTGGTTCTTTTTCTTATCACTTTTGCCCCTTCCAAAGAAGCGCAAACAATTTAGTGAGTCATTTTGCTTTATTTCATCAAATTCCCAAGCTAAAAAATAGGGAGTATTTGGCTCCATTGGAAATGATGGAAAGGGAGTACAAGCATATATAAAAAATTACAAGCTCTAATCAAATTTGAGTTTGCTTGGTATTTCTCATAAGAAACTATTTTTCTTGGTTCTTTTGTTCTTTTCCTATCACTTCTTTCCCCTTCCAAACATTCATATAAAGGCATAATGTGTGAAATTGGAGACACATAAGTCAGGCATCACATTAAATATTACTCCCTATAAGTATTATATTATACAAATTTGTTTAGGAAGTTATAATAACTAATGAGTCTTCCATTCAAGATAAACTTCATTTCCTAAACTAGTAAATCCAATGTCTATATTAGATTAATTAATATAGAGAATAGGTTGAAGGGTAGAAACTCACATTTAGGACAGCTGAAACCATTCGTACATGGAAGAACTCTCTGTCTGTGACAAGTAAGGCACTATGTTAATTGCCTCAGTTGTGCTTTGAAATGGAAAGCAAACTACCACCTCCACCCCACTTAATTTGTAAACTTCCTTCTATAAGGATTTCCACTAAAACTAACTTATCAGAAGCTTAGTGGTCTCTTACATGGAACTTCCTGTTGAAGAGCTCTTGTACAAGTTTACGTATAGATTCCTAATTGAGAGGAAAATTACAAAAAAAACAATCATTTATTTCATGAACTCGGGACTTATTTTCCATCCACCCGAAAACAAATAATAGTAATTAATAATAAAGAATATGCAAACATGTTCTGTTGGCAGGCTGGCTGATCAGGACCTTGCCGAGTCAGATTGTTGTAGGAAAGATCACTGCATAAGGTACATGACATCAGATGACATGGAAATCCATGAACTTTTCTAAGATATAACTTAATTGTAACAAACTAACATGCCAAATAAAGTAAATCTTAAATATGTTAATGGTAGCTAGTGAGCCTACAGATTTATTCCGTCCTTCAAAATTGACTCAGTCACATATCCGCTGAGAGAGTTCCCAGTCAAAAATCTATAGAGAGAATTGTTATTCAGTTAGTGTCTTACGCGTGTGGACAAGGCCACTTGTCGCAACAAATATGATGCCTATGAAAATCCTTGATCAGAATTTCATAAAATTATAGCAACTTACACGAATTTTAGCATACTTCTTACGCTAATACTTTTCGGAATTTCTCCAACTAGCTTGTTAAAACTGAGATCCCTGTACAAAATGAAAAATATCTTATTTTTCTTTTCTTTAATGAATACTACTGGCACATTCTGCATACAAACAACTAAACTTTGTCCTTTAGTTATATATTACTTTGTAATAGATTATAGGAGGATTATCCGAGTGTTTTAAATGTTGGTTTGCATTTTTCATATTTGTTTGATGTGGGATGGTTTAACAACAATATTCAGTCAAGAAGTCTCACAAAGTAAATGACAACACCATTCACTTTTCACTCACAATGTTTGCAGTGTTCTCGAGTTCCAAATATATGCAGGAACTTCCCCAGAAATGTTGCAATTCCTCAACACACTAGAACCGATCAGAGCCCATATTATGAGCTGCTAGGTGTTTGTAATGAAAATCCAATTTCATGTACATTAGGGTCACTCAACTTACAGTATTACTAAGCCACCCATATCATTAAGTAGAGGAAATCCCTGAGAAGGTCCATTGATATCACTTATTCTCCTTCACAATAAAATGCACCACGAAAATTGTTATTAAAAACAAATAGCTATAATATCTCTTTCGTCCTTGCAAATATAGCATTTTATGTTTTAGGTCTGTGTAAAACTTTCATTCTGGTTATTCATATACGTAGTATATCATTTACATTGTTTTCTTTTTTTAGTTCCTCTCAGCCAACCTCCAATGAAAAATGGAATGGAAAACATGTCAACTTTTTTTAAACTCATGGTCAACTGGGGGGGGGGGGGGGGGGGGTAGAGCTAAAAAACGCTCACCCTTCCAATTTTCAGTTTACACAACTCTAACTCTTCTTAGATTAAATATTAGGCATTATAAAAATCTAGGAATTTCCATCATTTGCCATGGAGCGCCAAAGATTCATTATTTTTCGGCAAAGGATCCCACCGTAGGTGGGAGCCTTTGCGGCACTGGGGTAAATGAAAATGATGAAAATGATGATGATAAAAATCTAGGAAATTCATACTAGAGTTCTATAAGTCATGTCATATATTTTTAACGGAGGTTGATGGAGAGGGATTAAAAGGAAAACAAGATGAATAATAGGGATGAAATGATGAATAATAAAAAATGAAGGACATATTTGCATGGACGAAAAAACATAGTTTAAACAAATAAAGATGCTACTTAAAATAGCAGAAACCATAACATAATGTAATGAGTTGAAAATTTCAATTTCTAATATGGAATCATACTTACAGGTCAGTTAATTTGTTTAGAACAGATATGTTTCCTGGAACCGGCCCCTCAAGTCCAGTCGCATGTAACTCTCTTAATTATTTACCCAGACTAAATATTAGGTACCGAAAATTAAACAAAAAAAAAACATATGTTGCTCACAGAACTTAGATATAAGTAAAGGCGTGGATACATACAATTTTGCAAGTTGTCGCCAGTTCTGTACATAATCTGGAATAGGCCCGCTCAAGCTGTTGTCATTTATCCTACTGCATTGTAAAGAATACAAAGTCAAAATTTCAGAGAAGAAAACTTTTCTTCTGTACATAGAGAAAGTCATAAACACGCTTACAAATCTGTTAAGTTTGTAAGTCCAGAAAACGTTTCTGGTAACTTTCCCGTCAAAAGGTTGGAGGATAATATCCTGAAATTCAAATATGGATTACTAGTGCATCATTAAGGTGGATGATATTCCTTCAGTACATAGACACAAAGTGAAATCACAAAGGAAGAAGAAAAGAGTCTAACAGATTTTGCAGGCTTATAAGTTTCCCGAGTTCAGAAGGAATCATTCCTGAAAATCGGTTTCCTTCAAGATTCCTGGAATTACAAGAAGCAAGAAAAATTGGAAACTGTTTTTCCTCTGAAAATTGATGAATTTAAGATTCAGAAAATACTAGGGAAAGCATATAAGAAGTTATTGAGGAAAATTAGAAAAAGAAACATAGAGGAACATTTTTTTAGATAAGCTAAAACTCAGTAACTTTATTTTAGATATTTGTTAGCTCTCAGTTCATTTAGGATGTTTTCTTTTGGACTGTTTTCAGTCCCAGATCAGACCAGACTTCCGTAGTTATAAAATATACAGAGACCAGACGTTTACCAGACTAGTTCAGACTAGCAAATTTCAGTCCAAAAGAAAACATTCTTATTCATGTCAACTATAAAAAGACAAAGAAAGCAACTAGATGATTTTCATTTCATTTTCATTTACCCCAGTGCTGCAAAGGCTCCCACCTATGGTGGGGTAAGGGGGGTCGGATGTACGCAGTCTTACCCCTGTACTAAAGCACAGAGAGACTGTTTCCGGAGATCCATAATGAAAATCGCGTCCAAAATTGCATGGACTGACTGTTGCTTCATAACAAAGAAGCGCAGATAGTTTTGTGAGCCATTTTGCTTTATTCCATCATATTCTCAAGCCAAAAAATAATGAATCTTTGGCTCCATTGCAAATAAAGAATGCAACTAGATGTTTTAAAAAAATCATATTTCATTTCCTTTAGAAACTTGCTCATCTTCGTGATCATAGGACTTAAGATATCAAAAGAGTGAAGTGTGTGAAGGATGTCGATCAAAGGATACTAATGGAAGATAAGGAAATAAAAGAGAGGTGGAGGTCATACTTTGATACCTTGTTCAACGAGAATAAAGGGTAAGATATCGATGATCTTACTATACCAGATTGTATGGTCAGTCGGGATTTTACGAGAAGGATCCAAACGACAAAAGTTAAAAAAAGCTCTAAGAAAGATGGGGCGGAAGAAAGCTGTGGGTCCAGATGGCATACTGATCGAGGCCTAAAAAAGTTTGGGATGGAGAGGCATCAAATGGTTAACACATTTCATGAACATGATTTGAAGAAACAACAAAATGCCAAAGTTGGCGGAAGAGTACTCTTATTCCCCTATTTAAGAATAAGGGTAATGTACAAGAATATGTCAACTATCGAGGGATTAAGTTTATAGTCCCACCATGAAGCTTTGGGAGCGAGTGATTGAGCAAAGACTTCGAAGAACTGAAAGAAGTGTGAAAATTTCAAAAAATCAATTTGGTTTTATGCTTGGACGCTGAGCAACCGACGCAATTCACCTTCTTAGACAAGTTGTGAGGAAGTATACATACATTAAATATGATCTGCATTTGGTGTTCATTGGCTTAGAAAGAGAGTGTGATGGGTACCTCAAGAAGTTCTTTGGTGGGCCTTAACTAGAAAATGCATATCACATAAGTATATCACTATCATCATGGATATGTTTGAGGGTTGTACTACAAGTGCTCGTACTAGTGTAGGGGGACCACAGAGTTCCCTATTACTATCGGAGTGTATCAAGGATTGACTCTGAGTCCTTTCTTTTGTGATAGTCATGGATGAACTTACGAAGTCAATTCAAGAAGATATATTATGGTGCATAATGTTTGCCAATGATATTGTATTGATTGATAGGACACAATCGGGTGTTAAAGCAAAGTTGGAAGTATATAACAAACATTAGAGACCAGACTGAATCCAAGTAAGACTGAGTATATAGAGTGCAAGTTTAGTAGAGATAGAAGTAGTGGTAACAGTGGGATTACCCTTGATAGCAAGGAGACACGGATCTGTGATATGTGATGAACTAGATGGAGAAGTATCTTCATAGAATCAGAGCAAGGTGGATAAAATGGAAGAGTGCATCAGGATTTCTATGTGGTCGAGATATGCCGACTAGACTGAAGGGTAAATTTTATCGGACGAGAATTAAGCCTGTATTAATTATGGCATAGAGTATTGGACGTTGAAACAATGTCACATTCAAAATATGAGTGTGGCAGAGATGCGTATGTTGTATTAGATGCATGGACATATCAGAAAATACCGCTTGAGGAATGGGGTATTCAGAAAAAAGGTGGGAGTAGCATTTATATAGAAGATAAGAAGCAAGGGTCTCGATTGCGGTAGTTTGGTCATGTGCGTAGAAGATCAAGTGATGCAACTGTTAGAAGAGTTGAGAGGTGGGGAAAAGAGACGGGGAGGAGAGGGAGAGGAAGACCAAACAGACAGGAATCAGAACTAATATGTTTCTTCTTAGAGAGAGTGAAGTGGAGGACGCATATTCGTGTGGAGAATTGATCTCTTGTCTCTCTCTCTTATCTTTTTCTTTTATCTTTTTATCTTCTTTATCATTCTTATGTTCTTAAGTTATTTTTATATTTTATCTTTTTTAATTTCTTTGATCTTACATACTTCGTATATCTTTATCTTACCCTTTTTATCTTACCTTATTTTTTTCATTTTTATTTTTCTTTTCTTTTTTACTCTGATATCATGGATTGATTCATGCTAGCCGACCCCAAAATCTTATGGCAGTAAGGCTTGGATGTTGTCGTTGTTCATTTCCTTTGCATCATCAAAGAACTCATCAAAGAACCAAAAGTAAAACCAAATATTAGAGAGAGAAAAATGTCCTTGGCATAGTTTTCCCTTTCCCTAGCATTTTCTGACAATCAAACATAACCGCGTAAGGCATGAGGAGGGAATGGAGGAAAGAAAGTCCCCATGGAAAATGAAGTTGTTTTACGTATAGCATAGTAATGTACAATCTTGGTCCCTCTTATTTCATTCTTTCTTTAAGGGAGTGTTTAAATTGCTTCTACTTTAAAAAAGTGTTTTTAAAAAAAAAAATTGGAGAAAGTGTTTAAAAGTAAAAGTTGATATTGTTTGAGAAACAAGTGTTTCTGAAAATGTAAAAGCTAATAGTATTTGAAAAAATAAGTGTTTTTTGTTTCACAGAAAAAGTGATAAGAAGTTTAAAGCATCTCTCCATGTTGCGCACTTTTAATGATAGATACACCAAATTCAGCAGATTACTTTTGTATATTAGCCACTTGAATGCTGAGGAAATTCTCATATTTTGATCAACGTAAGAAGTTAGCAGTTTAGCACAGCACAGAAGAAAGAGAAAGAAGAACATACAGAGTAGTCTCAACACTCCCAACTCCTGTTTATTCTTTTCCACTTGGGCTAGCCCAATTCTATTTAATTTAGGGTCTAAACCCCTTTTATTCTACAATATTAAAAGACCAATATTATTCTTATTATTAGTACTATCTAGGTCTCCTCAAGGTGGGGAGTAACTGAGTAAGAAACAGCCATGCCAGTACGCTTTATCCTTGCTCCTCTGCCTTCCCAGTACTTCAGCTCGGATAGTTTTCTTCATTTTGGTATCCACTCAATCTCTTTGTCAACATAGTGATCTTTTTGGCCAAGGTTGTTATCTCCTTCACTGCCCCATGTCTGATCTCTTACAGAATCTCCAATTGAGAGTACAAAGCCAGCTTCAGGAATGTAAGTCTCAGTCTTCACATCTTTCACCTTTGGAATTCCACTCCATCCCAGTAAATCTTGCATCTCCCTTTGAGCCTCATCACTTTGGAGGATTATCCCTTCAGGCTGCTTGTGTGGTTGTGTCAGCATGTGTCCACTATAAAGTAAAATTTGAGAAACCAAAAGTTGGATGTAATCAGGAGCAGTTTTGATTGCCTCTAAAACTTTTAAAGCAGAAAGGCTGGCAGGAGGGTCTGCCCTGACTGCAGCCTGTAGTATCCCAAGCACGTAATACATAGTTTCATCATATGTATGCTCACATAAGTTGGTGATTCCCGAGTCTGCAACAGTTAAAAGATGTGAAAGTGCTCGACAAACATCTGTCATAGCTTCTTCATCCTGCATATGAATCAATTGCTGAACAACTGGCAATGCAGCTTTGACCAGGTCAATTGGTGTTGGTGGTTTGCCTCGACAGTTTAGGGCATCTCCAGCAACATTGCTCAGAGCCCACACATCCTGCTCACGAACTCCATCATTAGCCCACACATCATGTTCTATGACAGCCCTAGTATGTTTGATTGTCCCAGATGCGACATTTGGCAGTGCCCAAGCAACTGCAGATTGCCATTGGGGTAAGTCACTCCTTCCAAGGATATATTCAAAACTGGGAATAACTCCTGCTTTAATCACCTCATTAATCGGAAGGCTAGGCTCAATCGACATAAGCTTTCTGAATGGTGCAGTTGCTTCAGTCTCTTTAGAAGCAAAGTTTTGAGTAATTCTATACTTACCAGTAGCAGAGTTTGTATTCATACCGTGAACACCAGCATTCTCCTCAACCTGAATCTGCTTATCAGGGAACATTGAACTAAATAAAACTTCAATTCCGTTTGCCACTTCACCTGTTAAACTATGACGGAGGGTAACTCCAACATAGTTCTAATAGGAAGTTCCTGAACCTCCACACCCCTCGTGGTAAAGTTTCTAGTACCATCAGCGCCTCGTTGATTGGAATCATCCTCATTAGGAGCTCCAAAAACAGCCTGCCTCGGTTTCAGCAACATAGTTGTAGTTGATAATGCACCAATTAGTACTAATAATTGGGCCCAATTATGATACAATATGGGATTGGGCCCAGTTATAGATACAAACACATGAGGTCCAGCATTCATAGTAATATCGGATTTCCACTCAAGTGCTTGAATCCTCCTCTTTGTTTTATTTGTGATTTTTACCTGATCCTCAAGTTGCCTTGGCAATTGCTCTTTCACTTTTCATGAACGAGTTCCATTTTCATCCACCTCAGGAGGGTTCGAACCTTCATGATGATTTGGCAGATACCCTGTAGTTTGAGTCGTATCATCATCTGGATCTGGTTCCTTGATAGATGGTTCAGCCGGCTTCAACTCAGAGTTTATTTTCAGCGATGCAGTCCCTGGCGAGGAAACTTGAGCACTGTGATACTCGGAAACCTGAGATGAAAGCTGCGAACACAGAGAAACAGTTTGCGATGGGGAACCGGGAACAGCCGTTCGTGGAGAAGTTGCTCACAGAAACCCCTGCGAACTGGAATGATTTGTTAGCGTCAAACTTTGCGACCTATGAGAACCTGTACGTGACTGAGACGACACCTGAGAACTGGAAGCTACTGTTCGAGACGAAGGTGAAGCCGTTTGCGATGACATCTGCGAACGGGAAGCTTCTCCTCTGGATCGCGTCGGACTTGGTCGTGAACTGCTGGCGGATGATGAAGTTCGCGATTGCGAACTGTGAGAGGAAGTTCGAGTCTGCGAACTGTTAGAAGCCTCTAACGATGACGATTGGTGAGATACTAGTAACAACAAAGTTGTCAATTGCGATCTGGGAGCTTCTTCGTGCGACACAGTCTGCGCACTTAGCGACGAAGATGGAACCTGGTTTCCAGAATTCCGACGGTGTCTAGGAGGACTCCTCGCTCCGTCTCTATGTCGCCTGCGAAGTTTGCGCAACATGCGGCGCATCTCCTTCCACTGACTTTCACTATTGTCCATACATTTCTCCACCTCTTCTTCAACTGTCTTCCAGTTCGTTGAAACTGATGATCGATTCAGACTCCAAGAGCGATTGCTCTGATACCAATGATAGATACACCAAACTCAGCATATTACTTTTGTATATTAGCCAGTGGAATGCTGAGGAAATTCTCAGATTCCTTCGGGAATTACAGATCAACGTAAGAAGTTAGCACAGTACAGAAGAAAGAGACACTTCGAGTAGTCTCAACACTCCCAAGTCCCAATCCAGATTCAAAGTTCTGTCTGCCTCTATTCTACTCCCCCAACTCCTATTTATTCTTTTTCACTTGGGCTAGCCCTGTTCTATTTAATTCAGGGCCTAAACCCCTTTTATTCTACAATATTAAAAGACCAATATTAGTCTTATTATTAGTACTATCTAGGCTCTATCATTTAAGTGCTTAATTTAAGTAAAAGTTGACACTTGAAAACACTCATTTCAGCTTTTTTAAGTCAAAAGTTGAAAAGCACTCTTTTTAATTTTTTGAAAACAGACCCTAAGTCTTCTTCAGTCCGTCCCAAGTTATTTTCACTTTTCGATAAAGAAAAGGATTTTATGTTTGATACTGCTTCTCTCTCTAAAGAAATTTAACCATATAGTTCCCACACACAAAAGTGCTACAGAAAATTATTACCTCTCTAGAAAAGAGAAAATCAGCTTGCACAAGTTCAAAGATCGAGGGAAATATTATGTAACAGTCCATTTAGAACGCACAACATAGTAGGGAAAGAAAAAGTGGAGTTATAAGCGGAAAGAAAAGTTGAGAGAAAATAAATTATCCAAACAAACTCAATAAATTTATTTTATACGAGTATATTTGTTCAAGTTCTTTTTATTTATTTGTGCCCATCATATTTCAATAAACTAAGATACCTCCACATATGAAGAAACAAATCAAAATTAATTATATTTCATTTTCATTTAAATTTTCCAAAGTAAAGCCTAAAACAAGAAAATAAATTTCCTTAAACATAAGCTAAAACTTTTGGAATTTCTCAGTACACCATTTGTGAACATCTCGGTAAACCATTCATGCACATACCATAAAAATTGATAACAGGATATCTGGAAATGTAAACTGAATACCTTCATTATAAAAAAAAAAATACTTACAAGTACGTGAGGGTGGTAATATTTCCTAAAACTTTTGGTATGTCTCCTGACAACCGGTTTACAAGAACAGAGCTGGAAAAGAAATTGGAGTTAGTATTTTTCTACACAGCATAAAACAAAAACAAAAAATTGTTTAACCAAAGACGATGAAGCTCACATGGACTTCAATGTTACTGATCCCCATTCTACTGGTATTGTACCGGTGAGACAATTGTATGCAAAATCTCTGAAGTAAGAAAATTTACGAAAAAAATGAGTCTACATCAATTAAAAAAGTAGTGTAGATGCATATGAAAAAGGCTCCTTCTTACACTTGTTGTATGTAGGGAAGTTTTACCAGTTCATGAGGGAGAACTCCATGAAGACTGAAACCCTTTATTGCACTGCATGGGTAAAAATCATTGTCAATCCTGGAATTTTGTAAATGAGAGAGAAAAAAAACTCTTGATAATAGATTTGTTAATCTTTTTTCATCAGTAATAGTCAAATTCTGACCAGAAAATATAGCTACGTTTTGTCAAAAAAATGTGGATCGATTCAATTTTAGGGTCTATTTGAAAAATGCTAGAAAAAGAAAATAGTGAAAAAAATATCAGAGAAATATGGAAGGGAAAAAACATGAGGTAATACAGAATTTATTTGAGCTTAATAAATTTATTTTTTGCATTTTTTTAAACACAAAAATCTATTTCTATTACATAAAGACTGAGATATTAAAAAGCATATTGTAAAATAAAAAATAATCATATTTCATTTTCTTTTGTATTATCCACGGTAAAACCAAACACACCAAATATCAATCTCTAGCATTTTTTCCTCTCCCTAGCACTTTGCAGGATCCACACATAACCTTACTCTATGCTCATTTCAAATGCATAGAATGCTACACATATTTGCTAGAAATTTATAAAAAAATTAAAAACTAAATGCTGCATAAAGAAATTGACTCTTCTTTTGTTAACATGATTATAAAGGAATTATAGAATAATATTTATAACCTTACGCACAACTTTCTTTTTTTGTTAACATGATTATAAAGGGATTATAGAATAATAGCATTCGAGTATGCTACATGAATTAGGAGTATGCTGTAAAATCACTGTCTAGTTGCTAGCATGTTTTTGGTCGTTTATTTATTTTTCCCGCTTAGGCCAACCTAATTCCACATAGGTCTGACTTCCTACCTGACCCCAATTAATGCTCTATTTCTCTCCTAGGCGCTAGGCTCCTTAATCAGGGCATCAGGCACATAGAACATGTAAGGCGAGGATTATTATGAATGTGTTGAAATTTATGAATGAAACAAAGTTTGGTAAAACCGCAAAATCTATTAGAGCCAAAATAATAAGTCAAAAGCTACTTATTCTGCCAATAAGCACAATTAAGTAGATAAGCCACTTTTAGTTACCAAACAAGATTTAACCATATTCCGAATATGAGTATATAGTATATAGGGGATAGGGAACCATTACATTTTCTGAATATGGCATAATGAATCATTTCCAATTGTGCAGTTGCAGTCAACACTATTATCAGACCAATTCGGCTGTGGTGTTACCACCCCGACTATTGTACTTTCGCAAGGATCAAGGTCGAAAGTCCAGTTTTTTGCACCCATTGTAGTGGCAATTTGTCGTAATGCATCCACTGACAAGTGAAACAAGACATCATATAAAGAGGCTGTACTTGTGTAAAGTTGCTGAACAAGTCTACATTTGAAGATAAACTCTACTTATTTACACATAAGATCTTATTCGACAATTGCCACATTGCCATATGATTAATGATGGGCAAATCTTAAGAAGTGGACTAAGTGTGGAGAATTTCTCATTGTTTACTTCTCATGAAAGTGGTTGTTCTTCGAAATCCCAAACAAGGTACTCAGTACTCACATGACCCCTGCACATGAAGAGGGCACACCCTTTATGTAAATACATTGGTGGGACCCACAATTGGAATTTAAAACCAACATGGAGGTAGACCACAAAAAAGGTGTAACGTAGGACTACATTCTCTCCATGTTGGGAGGACAGTCATAGGAGATTTTGGAAGGCTACTTATACATGTGAGATTTTTTTAAACAAAATAAAGAAATAACATAATTAGTAATAAAACAATCATTTTTATTACTAACCAAATAAATATTCATTTTTAGAAACATTCTATTTATCAATATATACAAAAACCGTCCAAAATGTTACCATCAATCAAAATAGACCCGTCTGTTTTGTTTGGATGGGACTGTTTTGGAAGACGGTGTGTATCATGCTTAAAAGAATGAATATAAGACCGAATAAATGTTCATAAAAATATTACATGGTTACATGTCATGTTACTTTCGTTCTTTTCATAAAATCTCAATTCGTTCATAAGCCCTCCAACGATTTCCTTCCAAAACCTTCCATCCAAACAGACCCTTAAAAACCTACCTAAAATTATGTAATGTCCCTAGTTTGGTAGTCCCTACAGCCAGAACATGGGAACTGATCACCATGGAAATATTAAAGATAGAGGCAGACCAATGGCTGAGCCAAAATATATCGTTAAGGGAGCCCAATTAAAAATTTTGCATTGCAGGGGCCAAAGCTTAAAACATCAATATATTTTTCATAGATTATAAATATTTCTACATATATATATACATTAGAATTTTTTTCTTGGGGGGCGAGGCCCCCTCTCTCTGTCTCCGCCCCTGAGCCTTGACGCATACATATAACAGCTATCTTTACCTGTTAGATGTTATTCTTGGGGGGAGAATAACATGATAATATCAAAAGTTCCGAAGTTGTTGTGATTAGCCAAATAAACAGATGTATGATTTGGTAAAAAAAAAACAGATGTATGATAGTTAGAAACAGAACAGTTATAGTAAAACTATCCTTCCAACTGAGGAAGAGTATAAGGAATCAAAACCTTGAGCAACTTTGACCAATACATAAAACTCGCAAATTCATATTAAAAATTGTGACTATTCCCCATTTTGACCAAGCTTTAGAAATCCATAAAACTCTCAAATTCCTTGTTCGGGTTCCTGATAAATCTCAAGGGAAATGGAAAGGAGAAGGAAAACATGAAAAATGTCACCTTTGAGCTATTTGCTATACTTGTAAGCAAAAAACGGGTGTTAAAAAGTTTACAAATCAAGGACGGGGAGATCAGATTCACCTTCATCTGGGGCGGTTCTAGATTCAGAAAACGTCAACAAGATGAACCAGCTAAGTGGGACGATGAATGAAACGACAGTTCTTCTTCTGAAGGACATACTTCTTAAAGCTTCAATTAATGTGTGCGAATACACATTTTTTTACACATTGTGTAGTATGTATCAGGTTATTTTTAAGTTTCTATGGAGCACAATTCTACGTGTTAGTTGCAATCCACTGTGAAATGTTGAGAATAGACTAATTCTCTTTCTTGGAAAGAGGCGTAGTGTAAGGTCAAAATGAATTTTGGAATCTTAATTATGTGTAAATTAAATTAAATGAGGGATTAAAAGTGGGAAAAGACAGGGGTGTGTTCGGTTCTTTCAGTTCGGTTTTGACCTAAAATCAAATACGGAACTAAAGTAAAAGTTTGGTTCGCTTTTGATTCGGTTTTACACTCCAAAACTTGGAACCACGGTTTGATTGGTTCAGTTTGTTTCAGTTCGGTTTCAGTTTTTTCGGTTTTTTACTAAAAATTTGTCATTTGATTTAAAATTGATATAAAAGTTGGAGAGATCAAACATATTACATAAAATTGCAAGCATACTTGAACATATAAAGAAAATAATAATAAACAAATATGTCTTGAATTATATGAGTATGCGGGATAGATAAAAGTGTGTATATATTCTTAATTTACATTGTTTGTGACTAGTTTGAAAAAAGTTTATGAATACATACGTCCTATGTGATATAGCTGAGATGAATATTTATTTGTTTTATCAATATAAAAAATTTAAGTTACAAAAAAAATTAAGTTACATAAAAATAAAAGTTAACTACTACTAATAACCAGTAAAAACATATAATCATGCAACAAATTGCAACATACATACATAAAAGACATAATACATCAATATAGCTACATTATTATGGGCAATGAATGTGTAAATACATTTATAAACTAAACTAAACATAGCACAAACATTATTTCTCTAGCATAAGAAATTCAAAGATTATTGATGATATTAAGATTAATGCTTACATTTAACAAATGAAATTTCATATTTTATTTTTGTTCGGTTCGATTTTGAAGGGTAAAAATAAAAAATGAACCATACTACTATGGTTCGGTTCAGTTCGATTTTTTACATTCGGTTTCGGTTTTTAGCGGTTCGGTTTTATTTGGTCGCAGTTCGATTTAATTTGATTCGGTTTTCGGTTTTCGGTTTTCGATTTTTCGGACTCAGCCCCTAGAAAAAGGGGTAGATGATGGTAAATGTAGAGAGGAGTTGACAGGGATGGAAGAAAATGAAAATGAAAATAAGGACGTTTGGAGTGGTGGTGCGGATGATGACATGTTGACATCATCTCTGCGTCATAAAACTCAAATTTATCAAACTCCTATAACTTTCTTGTTCGTTTTTTAAATTTGTCAAAAAATATATCAAAACTTACAAATTTTTATTATTTTCATATGATACCAATATTACATATATAGAGTATAAAAAACTAAAATTTTAATTGTTAAAGTTTTCTTCGGCTCAATAAAACATGAAACACAAATTTTAAATTTGTGGAGCCTCCATAAATAAAAGAGATATTACCCAAAATGGGACTAAAAAAGTTTGAAAATTCCAAAATAGGACTTCCATGTTTTTATTCCCAAAATAGGACTAGTTACTGTCATGTTTTGGCAATACCAGACTTCAAACATGGCAGTATTTTCCAAATTTGACAGTAATTAGTCCTATTTTGGGAATAAAAACATGATAGTCCTATTTTGGAATTTTCAAACTTTTTTAGTCCCATTTCGGGAACTTTCCCTAAATAAAAGTATATTACAAGAACTCATCTTTATTTTTTGTAAAAATTGTGATGGAATATAATTCCAGCGAAAAGAGCTTAATCAATCAAATATTCATTGATCGTGAGAAAGTAATAAGAGTCTTCTTCATGTCGAGAGAGACCCCTTTTACAAGATATGTACATGAGTATTTATAGGCTTTGGGAGTTGATATTTTGAGAGGAATCTAATACAATAAATGCTAATTAATGAACTATATTCTTGCTTGAAATAGAACTCCTTTCATGCCTTGGACGTTAAGCATTAATCATCTCCTTCTTGTTTCCAAACAGCAATGTCCGAGTAATAGCCTGCCACGTAAACCTTAGGAATATCCCGGCCTCACTAGAACTGAGCCCAGCCTCGAGGTCTGCTCCGGGTGATAGAAGGTGGCGACAACGTCATCACAAAGCTAAACAGCGAAGGTAAAGTTGTTCCTAAACCTAAAGCTGAATTAACTACTGATAATTATCAAAAACTCGAGCATAGTGCCCAAGCTCTTAAATACTTAATTTGTGGTCTTGGTCCTGCTGAACACAACCGTGTTCTAGGATGTAAGACTCAAAGCAAATGTGGGATTTGCTCGAGGTTACTCATGAAGGTACCTCATGTGTAAAACAATCTAAAATTGACATATTTATGCGTAATTACGAATTATTCGTAATGAAGCCTGGAGAGTCAATTAAAGATATGATTACACGTTTTACTAATATCATCAATGAGCTTTCAGCCCTTGGAAAGGAAATTACTGTGGAAGATCAAGTGAGAAAAATCTTGAGAAGCTTGCCCTCGGTATGGAAGCCTAAGACCACAACTATTGAGAAAGCAAAGGACCTATCCACCATGTCTCTTAAAGACTTGACCGGTTCACTCATGATATATAAATTAGGACTTCAAGAAGAGCAAGACGCTGAGACTGTAAGGCGAGAGAGAGGAATTGCTCTAAAAGCTCGAGAAGAGGATGAAGAATCCGAAAGTGAATCGAAAGATGAGATGAGCATATTTGCTAGACAGTTTGGGAAGATGTACCGTCGGTTCAAAAACAATAGGAACAAACAAGGCAAAAATAACTTTCAATCTTTTCATAACCAAGGCTGTTTTGTTTGTGGTTCCTTCGAGCACAGGGCAAAGGACTGTCCACAAAAGATGAATGACCGAACCTATGACAAGAACAAGTCCAGTTCTAACTGGAGGTCCAGCAAAGACAAAGGGTTCAAAAGAGATCTCAAAAAGGCAATGATGGCAGCCTGGGGAGACTCATCTGATGACGAAGAAGAGGAGAGTGATATGAACTCTAACCATATGAGTTTATGTCTTATGGCACACTCTGACGAGGAATTTGATCATCATACATACGATTGATAATTCACACCAAAACAAACGCACCGGGAGTCTGGGACACATGCAAGGCCAACCAGATCGACGTCAATTAATAGGGAGGATTTGAAATGGATGAAACGGGGAACCTAGAACTTTCCTACCAGCGTATAAATATACTATTACCGAGGGAGAAGACTTCACCAGGAAACACAAACCGACATACATATATATACACACGCATATGCATACACGCAGACACGCAGTATATAAATACTACGTATTACGTTCACTTACATAGAAACTATTTATGGAGAGGAGAAAAACGTCGCCGGAGTACGGAAGGAGGTCCGCTGCACTTATTTCGCCGAAGAAGAAGAGTAACGAAGTCACCATCGTCGTACGAGAACGCGGAGTGAGTGCTACATTATAGACGCTGAACTACTTACTGTTGACGTCGGAAAGACCATGACCAAGTAACCAACGCCGGAGAGCCATAGCCAAGCCGCCGGACTGGTTCACGCCAGAGAAAGGGGAGAAGCCGGGGAAGTTGCTGCCGGACCAAACCGCTGCTGCAGTGTATCTACTCCAGAAGAAAAGGGCCGCTGAGGACAGAGACGTTGAGGAAACCGCCGTGGAGAGAACCGTCACTGCCTGTTGCCGTTATCTACTGCGTCGAGTTTCTGTAGACGTCGGCATGTACGTTAGTCTGCGTTCTATTCCGTATGTGTTAATAATAATAATTGGGCTAGTCAGAATAATAATTGTTGGACTAATTATTATTTGGTAACTGGACACGGCTGATAACAATATTAATAATATAATAATAATAATAATAATAATGATAAATAAAATAGATTAAGTTGTTATAACCAGAAAATTATAATTGGACTAATTGATCTATAAATAAATAAATAAATTATTAATGCTAGAGTTTTAACATTTGACGTGCACTTTGTCGTGATGTGCACTCAAAATAATAATAATACAATACAACACTTATACGTAGTATAGCGTAGTGAGGTTCGTATCCGCAGGGAAAGGAATACTTCTCTTTTTATAACTAGTAATAAGGGGTTTTTTTAGATTTGTTGCTGAAGAACTTTTTAGAATATTAAAACACAAAGATGAACGAGTTATGTGGTTTAATTAATGAGAAGAAGACTTGGTTTTGCTTTTATCCGATCCACTTAATGAAATGTTCGTCGATCCCGGTTATATCTTTAACTATCTTCCTCTCGAATACTCAATCGAGGAGTATATCCAGTTCATCGAGGGAGGGTAGTTATTAATAACGAGATGCGTTCATTAATAAAACTTACTATCGAGTCAATATAGAACAAGCGCCGTATATTAACTTGATAGTAGCAATAAACTTAAGATGAAAACGATTGAGATTGATAACCTCAACACAGGCGGTTTATTGGTTTAATCAATATAATTAATTCCCCTTGGCTTATTAATCATGAGAAGCATGCATTAACGACCCAAGTTTACTACCATTGAAAGAACCGAATTAATAACAAGCGTATTAACCGATTGATTTTAGTAATAATTAATATATGAAACAAAACTAGTTGATCCTTTAAGTAATGTTCAAAATATTAATATGAAATATGAATAGGAATTAATTAATACTCAAGGAAGAATATTAAAGAAGATGAATCCTACTATAGTTAATATCAAGATGTTAACTAATTGTCATCTTAGTAACACTCCCCAATATTAACATAGAGGAAGAAATAGCTATTACTATAACTAATGTCAAGATGTTAACTAATTGTCATCTTAGTAACACTCCCCAACATTGATATAGAAATAGTATTTAAAGGAAAAATTAATATTTAAGGAAGAAGATTAAAGAGAATAACTCACAACTTACAAATTCATTAAGCTTCAAAGTAGCAAAACCAAGATGGAAGAGTTTAGCTCCTCATTTGGAGACTAAACATGCTATAAAAATATAAAAGAAATACTATTCTAAACTGAACTTAGAAGTATATAGGAATTGGTGTTTTTTCTGAGAAGGAAATGGGGTGTATTTATAGGCTTTTTGGGCTTGCAGGGTCGTGTACCCGATCGAGTAT